TGTAGTAGGAGTATTTTAGGATAGTAATTTAGGATAACTGAGTACTTTGGCAGAGACAGAGGGCACCAGGATTCTCTGATTGTGCCAGTTAAAAGCCTATAACTTCTTTTCAAATGTGTTATTCAATTTGGCAACCTCTGTATGTCCGCAGATAGAAACAGAGTCTTGGTTCACAAGAACTGAGAGACACACGACTTAACTGCAGGACTACTTGTTGAGACCTGGGGCTATAAGCACTGGTTTTTAATTAAGCCACAAAAGACTTCTGATCATGGTAAATGTACTTTTTTCTTTCTTTTTAATAACAAATCTACTTTATATAGTACCTTCCCTTTGATTAAGTGAGAAAGAAAAGAAAGATACGAAACAGCAGAGTCAAATTCTGGGTCAGTGAATCCTTGCAGTTTTCCTGTCAAACAAGACCCCTTGCTGTGAAGTCTAAAAGTGAGTAACAGACATGCTGAAAAAAAAAGATTTCATTTTATGATAGATTCTGCACCAAAGCCTTTCACAAAAGTAGTATGAGCATCCACTAAACATCCTGTCTCATTTTCCATTCTGCAATTACTGTCTGCTTGGTCAAAATTCACATTTAAGTAATAAAAATGAATCCATGACAGTACCTTGCATCTCCCAAGAATTACCTTCCAAGGATACTCTGATTTCTTTATATTACTTACCAGTCCTATAGTCTTTTAAAGAAAACATGTTGGCTTCAGCCCTCAAGGAAAATCACTGTTTTGTTAAAATGGGATTTGGGGTTGGATTTGTTTTATATGAAGAGAAAAGAATGGAGATATTTTACTTTCATTTATTACAAACACCAACACCTTTTGTCTGTAGAGATATATTTTCATTTCAGGATGTATTTCACAGCAAATTATATTCTTAAACCAGCCAATTCATAGGTATTTTGAATGTGGTATTTTATTATAACGCTTGTTTGTCTTTGTTTAGTGTTCATTAGCACAAAGATGGTTTATTTTCAAAAGAGAGGACATTATTTCCAAAGTCTTCAATATGTTTTTATTAAAAATTACTATATTCAATATGTTAAAAGTAATATGTGCACTTTTAAAACATTCAAACAATTTAAAGGCAGATAAAGCCTCCAAAGGCTCCAACTAACTGTCCCCTAAGATGCTACTACTCTTAACATAATTTCATTTTTAAAGAAGGAGGATTGTATCACATCTACAGCCTTTCGGTAGTGTTAAGGTAAGAGAAGATCACTTTACAATTTCTTTATAACTAAACATACATACACAATTCATTGTAAGCTTCTCATCAGAAAACAAGCAAAAGAGTGAGAAAATATGAAAAAAGGAAAAAAATGGACTGTAATCTCGGTATCTGAAGTCAAAGAGGTTTTTTTCCAGGAGACTATTAAGAAATGTCTCATCTCCCTACCCTCCAAATTATAAAAGGTTACAGACTAACATCAAGGAGTAGCTGTCTGTGAAGGTCAATCAATCATCTGGTTTTAGTGAAAACTAAAATAGCACAAAACACTGACAGTGAAACACGCAGAGAAAGAACTCAAAGAAAAATCTGAGCCAACAATCTGGATGAAGCATGACATTCAAAGCAAGATCAAGACACAAAGCCCTTTTTCTGCCCATTGTCGGCAAAATGGCTAGGACCTGAGGAGCTAGCCCCACACAGGAGCAGAAAGGGCGCAGGTACATCCCTCCCGGTCGCAGCTGCTGCAAACAGACCGTGCACGTTTACCCAGTAACTGGGATGCACAAAGCAATACAGACTTTCCACGAAGAATCTTGACTAATCTGACACTGCCCTCCACAGACAGGAAATTTGAGGCTATCAATATGGCTAACTGATGCACTGAAATCATCAGAGGTAGCTCTGGAAAGAGAACACAGACCTGACCCAGGCCAAGAATTCAACTCAAGAAGCCAGACTTGCAGTTTTCAAAAGACGGGTGTGTGTGTGTGTGTGTGTGTGTGTGTGTGTGTGTGTGTGTGTGTGTGTGTGTGTTGTGTGTGTGTGTGTGTGTGTGTGTGTGTGTGTGTGTGTGTACGTGTACATGCACGTACGTATGCACAACCTTTCTAGAAGGGTGCTTCTGAGAACGAGGATGAGTTTCAACACGATAGAAACTCAGTCCCATCAAGTGGTAGGAATTCACAGAAAAAGCCTTCTTAGCATATACCGGTGAACATAGCAGACATAAATCCTTGCCCTCGGGAAGCTGACACTGCAGTAGAGGCAAGTAGAAAATAAATAATATATATAATGTGTCCAAAGTTGATAAGTGCAGTGGAGAAAAGTAAAGCAGGGAAGGGGAACAGGGAGCGTGGAGAGGAGGCAGTTTGTATATTTTTACAAGGTGGACAGGAAAGGCCTCACTGAGAAGGTGATATCTGAGTAAAGACCTCGAGGAAAGTACAGAACAAGCCAAAGAAATCTCCCAAAGCAGATTTAAGGCAGTTTAATTCTAGACGAAACTATTAACTCCATGATATAAACAAGCAATTCAAAACTAACTTAACCCCCGAAAGTCTCCCTATCTCTACCCATCCCTCCACAACAATTACTGGGCCAATCTGGACAGCAGCTGAAGAAGACAAGTGAACAGAAAAATGACACGTGTGACGACCAGAGCAGCAAGATCCACTCAGGAATCTCCTTTGTTTCAACAGTTAACAGAGGTTCTACTTCACCAAGGAGGGAGGCTCACTGGGACCCGTGCACGTATCACAGTCTCACATGCTGCCTTACTCTTTGTTCAGCCTGCTTGAACAAGAGGGCCTTTTAGGGACTCTAATCCTTTGTCACCTCTCTTGTGATTAGGGGCCTCAGGCAGCAGGCTGACTGAATTCAGGTGGGTAGCAGAACATTCAGGCCAACTGGGGGCAAAGGGGACAAGTTGTAAGAATATGGTAAATAGTTAAGATCATAATTTGAGGGGAGGAGAGCTGACTAGTGAAAAATTAGGAGAAACCAGGTACTGTGATTCCAGGCCCCAAGCAAATGGGTCAGGAATGATTACTGAGGATTCAGATCAAATTAGAGGGAAAGAGCAGAATACAATGCCCATTCTGGTTGGCTGGAGTCAACAGGTCTAGGGCACTCAGAGTCAGTCAGTACCAAAGTACACCCAGAGATGGGTGGGGCTGGAAAAGAGAGGGGCCTGAAACAGACTGAAGAAGTGTTAGACCAAAGGCAAGAGAAGAAATGGGAACTAAAGTTCCAAAACAGTAGGCTGGGGACAGTGTACAAGGATGTGGTACAAACCTAGAGCTCTTGGCTGTCATACAAGTACCGTGGGTCTGTGAACCCGAGGAGAGTAACTGTTTGCAGTCCACACTAATTTAAGTACCTCGTCACTGAAGGTATACGAGCCACCAGGCACATCCCTCTCCACCAGGAGGCTGGACTCTGCTGGTACCTGTGACTGAGGACGGCAGTGAGGGCACAGGGCTATGTCCTTGTAATAGCCAGCCTTCCTCGAACATTCTCATGTCTACTTGCACGCTTTCTCGCTCTCTCTATATATATACGCACACACAAACACATACACACACATACACACACAAACTTAAACTGTTAAAGCATTTCTAAATCAGGAAAAGAATAAGTCTATAAAAATTACCTCCATTCCCTTCCTAATAAGAGCCCAGTCAGGGACTGACTGATTCTACCTAGCTGAGGGTCTGTTTCTCACAGTCACCCACACATAAGAAATGTTTAGCAGTGGTGACACTGGATGGCACCTGCTGGAGCAGATGTCAAGTTCCAGATCAGCCTCTCTGACATGATATACTTCACAGGAAACAAGACTAGAGCTTTAAGTTACAAAGAAGGATACTTAATACTCTTTAGGGAAAACGTCAGTACCTACGCTGGACTCCTAGCTAAATTTCCTATCCCTAAAAGTTTGGGGGGAATATACATAGAAATTGCCAAGAATCTTTAAATCCTGTATTTTCAAAATCACTTTTGTCGAGTAGGAGGATAAATACAGCTTTCAACTGTCATAATCTCAGCTCTTGAATGTGGTTTAACTTCCAGGATCTGGTAGGCATCAGACATGAAGATAATGTATGGAAAATAGCACAGCAACAACCAAAAACTGACAATCTGATCTAATACCAGCAAGACCAGATACTGAAAGTGCTTGATAAACTAATACGTTTTTTACACCATCTATTTCAACAAAGTGGAATCAGAGTTACATAAAATCACTGGTTACAGGAAATGTTTCAATAAGAACTAAATCCATTTTATTCTCTAAAGGCAAATGGTTCAACTGTCAACATTTTTAGGGGTTCCCCCTAAATGTGCCCTCTTTTGTATTCTGATGAAAATTAAACAATTATTAACTTTGAAGCAAGGTCAATTAAAGAAAGAAGAAGCTCATTTCCAAACACGAATCAATACACCTTCAGATACCTGGGGTCAGTCAAAAGACAGTCAAAGTTGTCAGCCGCTTCTGGTGGAAACAGCAATGACTTAATGACTTTATAAACAATTTTTTAAAGTAAACATTTTCCTTTTAATTCTGTTAAATGGATAAATGCAATAGTGATTAAGTATTCATTTCACCATGAACTATAATCTGTTAATTTGGGGAAGCTTTGGCTTTTACAGAAGGTTTTTAGTCTTTCCCTCACGGATACTGAGTAATGTGTTACTAATTGTATTTTACCTTTGCTTTTGCCACAATGATATTCAGAATCAAATATGCAGTCACACCACAGAAACCACATGAACTTTTATCTTTCAAATGTGTTTTAGTTTTCTTCCACATTCCAATAAATTAATATTTTTGCTGATCTTAATTACTGTCTTTCAATTTATGACACCATTTTATTTCAATTATTTCTAGTTAGGCTCAGATTTTTGTGCAAGCAAGAAGTAAAATACTTTAAAGTGTATTTAAAACAAAGATCTAACAATAGTTCTATCACCCTGATTACTCTATACCAGAACACAGAATAAATAAAGGCTAGTAAAGATTCCACTCAAATACTTACCAGGAGCAATGGTCTCCAGCGTATCAGAACTGACCTTCCGAGTACTTGTACAGTGATGGAGGGTGGAACCCGAAAATACCAAGTAAAACACTACATCATCCTCAACTTTGTCCTCTTCAGAGAGCAGTACAGTAACAACACAATCACCCTAGGAAAAGGGAAGAGAGAGCAAGTTTGCATTAGTAAGGTTCCTCTTGGGAGCTTATCTTTAGAAAACATCTAATTTAAGGGGAAATCAAATGTATCATCTAAACTGTGCCCATTCTAGTGAGTTTATACAAATATAAACACTGATTGAGCCCCTATGTGCCAGGAAGTATTCTAGGCATTGAGAATACAAAACAATCTGAAAATAAGATCTCTGTCCTCTTTAAGCTTACATTTTAGTGGAGATGGTTAGACAAATAAGTAAACCAACAAGATAATGGTACATTCACTTGGAAAAAAAATTTTTAAAGAATGTAAAATAGCTCCCTAAAAAAGCTCTGTAAAAATTCCAGGAAAATCTAAAAATAAGGCAGAGAGGATGGAGGAAGTATATTAAACAGTTACATCCTTATACTCAGAATGCCCCTTAACCTCTGTGTTCCATTTGCAGCAATAACTCTCTAAACTCTACATCCCACAGAATCACTGCCAAGTCCACCCATTCTCCATCAAACATGGAGAGCCTCTAACAGAGCTGGCCTAGAAGTGGTAGAGTGCAAAGAGCTTGGGCTCCAGACAAATCTGGGTTTAAATTCCATCTACAAAGACTTTACTTAAATCCTCTAAGTCTCAGGTTCCTTGACTATATAAATGGAGATAATATCTTCTCTTCTTACAGCTAATGTGTGAGAATTTTTGAAGCATATTCACCACTCAGCCTGGGATAATATTCTTAATCTATGAGGATGGGAGGGGCGCTTTTCCAACAATTTGTGTTTCCTGACCATCTGGAATCGCTACTCTTCTTTATCCACCCCTCCCTTAAGCCCACAGAATCAGACATAAATCTTGTGCCAGTAACTCTGCCCGTGACTCTGCAACTATTTAGAAGTTAAGACATCTTCGTCCTTTATTTGCAAATATTCTTCTAGCAATTTTTATACATTTTTAAAAATTGAGGTCACTGGCTAAATTAAATTTATTCTATGAAATACAGTCCTAATTACCATTCTCCCAATCATAAACATTATATAATTCATGTGGTAACCATAAACAAAAGATTTTAGAGCACTGAGGTTTAGTACTGTGTAAACCTTAATGATGCATTATTGAAAATCCAATTTAGAGAAAGCCAGGCCATTTTAACATTAAATAGGGGAGAGAATTCCCATTACTTAAAACACTTTTTTCCTTTCCACTTTAGGAGTAATAAAGCCTATTAGAGAACCATGGCTCCCTGTGGCCACAACTTAATGGCTAGCAGCAGAAAGGAGCAGCAGGTAGTGTTTCACTAAATAATAAAAACCAAAAATCATGAAGTCAAACTTGGGATCAAGTCTAGTAACAGAAATGCTCCAGCAGGTTGATTCTGAAGACCAAATTCAAAGTATTTCCTATAGCCCTGAGTGTCTCTTTCTTATTTTTCCCCAGTACTCTGTGTAGCGCCCTGTATACAGTAGGGGTTCCAATCTGTTGTAAGAAGTCAGAATGAACTACAAATAAGCTGTAACTTACTAGGGCTGCTGAACTGGAAAGCTCCAAAGCACCCTAACACAGGAATAGCACAGTTGGTACAACAGAATTATCACTGACTTCAGACACTATTTAGAATTATACTTTTGGACTTGTATATAAGTCCCTATCTTGGGGACTGTATTAATAGTACTGAAATCACCTTTATGTACTTATTAATAAGTAAAAAAATATATATTATTTCCACTAAGATTTCTAACCTGGAAATCTAAGAATAGATCTTCCTTTTCTAGATCAAGGATTCTCTCTCTACATTAGACCTACCATCTTGCTGAGAGACTCTCCATGCCCCAAGATGTTAGTTGTGTCTGGGGCCTTCCTTTAACTGGGGACAGTAACTTGATTTGGGGAAAAAAATGAAATTGGGAAGAGAAGAGCATCTGAGGGATGGGAGAGAGTGACTTACAGTGTGGGGAAAACAAGGCCTTGGAAACAGGGAAGATGTTAGGTGGAGATTAGAGGAATGAGATAGGGAGTTTTGCGGGAGGAATGATAGAAGAAGGGATAGCACTGATCTCTTAGATAGCAAGACAGTGTCAGTCATGAGGCTCCTGAAGGTGGGCAGTCAGCAGCAAGAGAACTGCAGTGGCATGCTGGAGCTGGCCTGTACAGGCTTGCGAGAGCGCATCATATTTTCAGGATTTCTGCAAGCCAGGTGTTAAACACGGCCATTACTAAAAAGTAAATGAGGGCTTCCCTGGTGGCGCAGTGGTTGAGAGTCCGCCTGCCGATGCAGGGGACACGGGTTCGTGCCCTGGTCCGGGAAGATCCCACATGCCGCGGAGCGACTGGGCCCGTGAGCCACGGCCGCTGAGCCTGCGCGTCCGAAGCCTGTGCTCCGCAACGGGAGAGGCCACAACAGTGAGAGGCCCACATACCGCAAAAAAAAAAAAAAAAAAAAAAAGTAAATGATATAAGCTTACAATTAAGTAAATTAAAAAGAGATGTAATAAATACTCAAAACATCACATTTTAATCTTTTGCCACATCTTACTATTATCTACGCTCTTGAGGTTTACATCTGTTGTATCTGTTATAATGATGTGCTACTGCACATCTTTTCCCAACACACCTCTTGCCAATTCTGTGTTCAGTGATGTAGCATTAATATCTTGAAGTCAACGATTATGGGTATATTTACACCACTGAAATTGGCAAATGCTACAAATCAGGGTTTGGTTTGGTTTCTTCTTTTTAACCGTCACATCACTGAGAACAGGTCAGCAGAAGGGAAGAGGGGGAAAGTAAGAGAATTTCCTTAGGGAGGCCGAATCAAGAGAGCTCACTGCTTACACGGAGTAAGAGAAAACCCTAGGCAAGTACAAAGCATCTCAGGTATAGACAACAATGCTGCCATAGCTCTGTTCCCAAGAGTTGAACAGAATCACCACCTTAATTTGCTTTCTAACTTTCAGACTTGGCTTATAACTTGTTACCACACCACAGTAGTTAAGAGGATGGTCTCTGCCTGAATCACAGTATGGCACATCACTTTGCAGCTGTTTAACATGGGGTATACTAAATTCTCTGCCATAAGAGAGCAACGATCACACTTACCTCATAAGGTTGTTTTAAGAATTAAATGATTGATAAAAGCAAAGCACCTACAGCAGTGCACTGGCACATAATAAATGTTCAATAAATGATAGTTATAATGTACTGTACAGCATGATGACTACAGTTAACTAGTTAACAATACTGTATTGTTCATGTGAAAGTTGCTAAGAGAATAAATATTAAATGTTCTCATCACAAGAAAAAATCTGTAATTATATGTGATGGATGTTAACTAAACTTACTGTGGTAATCATTTTGCAATATATCAAATCATTATGTTGTATACCTCAAACTCATACAATGTTATATGTTAATTATATCTCAATAAAAAAATAATAAATGATAGCTATTATTATTTACCAGAATGTAAGCCCCATGAGAACACGTTTTACTCACTGAGATATTCCCTTTGTCTAGAATAATAAGTAGCAGGTGCTCAAAACACATATTGGAAAAGAAAGAAAAGGAGATCCCAAAACTTTAATAGTAGTTATTCCTAGGTAGTAATTGAGGCCAATTTTAATTTACTTTGTGCTTTGGTTTTCCAATTTTTAAAAATAAAGATGGATTATTTTAAAAAGAAAAAACTTACTTTTAAAAATAATCTGCTCACTTATAAATTACAAAGGGAAAGACTGAAACCTGGCACATACCATATGAATCAAGTGATCAAAAAAGTTAACAACACAAAAAATGAAATGAACTAACATCACATGTCTTCTGATCCCACCCACTGAGGACACAGCATCACTTAGTGTTCCTAATAAAAGTGCATAACCTCAACCTAGTCAGAAGAAAACATCAGACAAACCCAAATTGAGAGGCCTTCTATAAAAATTAAAAAACAAACACACACACAAAAACTGGCCTGTACTCTACCAGAATGTCACTAATGGAAAACAAAGAAAGACTGAAGTACTATTCCAGATTAAGGAGACTGAAAAGACTTTCCAACTAAATGCGATACATGATCCTGGGCTGGATCCTGAACAATAAAAACAAATTGCTATTAAGGACATTAACGGGACAAGTGTCCAGATTTGAATGAGGTTTACACATTTAACACTGCACCAATGTTAAAATTTTCCTCGTTTTGGTAGCTGTGCTGTGGTTATGTAAGAGAATATCCTTGTTCTTAAGAAATACACAATGAAGTATTTGGGGTAAAGGAGCACGTCTATAAGTTACTCTCAAATGATTCAGGGTAAAAAAATGAGAGATAATGATTAAGCAAATGAGGCAGAACGTTAACAGTTGGTGAATCTGGGTTTAGGGTATACGGGATTTATAACTTTTCTGTAAATTTGAAATTATTTTAAAATAAGAAGTTTCCAAGAAAAAATTTTTCAAATAATTTATATGATCAGATATTCAAAGTTAAAAGGTGCAAAATTAAGTTACATTTCTGAGGCTAATTTTTATATCTTGCAGACACAAATATTTAGCACAGATATTCTTGCAGGATCCCAGAATGATGAAGTTATAACAATAACTAGCTTTTATTCAAGAATCTTAAAGGAGGCTTACAGGTCTACCCAAATCAATTTCCCAGTTTGCCAAAATGACAAGATTTATACCCAACAATCATAAGGGAAAAGTGAAACAAAGAAAGTAAGTAATACTAAGTAAATACTGAGCATTACTCCAAAGTATTATCTTTCCATGAGGTGGTAAATATTATAGTACCAAAAGAATAACTCCAAAGTGAGTCCTTGTATAATTCAGATACTATATGCATCCATGCAATTAGCTTCATTCTCGCCTTTAAATACAAGAGTACCGGCAACTGACATACCATTTTGCATAATCATTTCCTAAAGCAACCAAAGACTGACAGTCAGCTATAGCTTTTCCACTGTCTGAAATGCAAAGTCTATCCTCTGGAAACGCAGGGCAGCTAGTTTTTAATTT